GGAGGCAAAACATCGCCCCATTCCCTCCGAAAAACGTACGTGTTCAGCAGATTATCTTCTTCGGGCTTCACAGTGTCCAGCCCAGGTGACGGAAAGAGCGGAGCGAGAGACATTTCGTAGGGGGCGAAGCCATTTTGGAGAGGGGGTCCGGCGGAGGGGGCAGGACTGGGCAAATCGGTCTACTGGACAGTTTTCCATAGTTTTTGTTCGAGTGAAGCGGCCCCCTGGCGGCTCCCATGGCCTGCTTCCTCGTATTCTTTAGAATCACGCGGCCCACGGGCCCCAAGACGGCCCAAGAGCTCGGCTCCGAGACGGCCCAAGAGGGCGCGGGGAGGGGAGCAAAGACAAGGAAGGAGGGGAGGAAAGAGGAGCAGGAGGGAACAGAAAAATACGCGATGGGGGGGAACGAAGACACGATGGGGAAAGCAAGCGACCCCAAGGGAAAGAACTACGGCAGGTTCGTGTCGTGCCGACCCCAGCGTTGGTTTTTGACACCGCAGGGATCGTTCAACCTTGAACGATCGGCCGCTGCCGCAACGTCCGATCGTTCAACGTCGATCGATTCTGGGTCGCCGGCGGCGTTCAACCTTGAACGCCCGCGCTGGGGTCGCCGCGGGTCGACACGACGCAAACCTACCGTAAGACTCCGAGGGCACAGAAAGAGACCCCGAGAGGAGGGCGGGGGGGACACCCCGGACCCCACCCCCCCAGCGAGGGGAAGGAAAAAACTCCGAGGGGCAAAAATGAAGAGACCACCCCGAACGACATCCGGTGGGGGGGCCGAACAAAAAAACACGGGGGGCGGGGGGAGAACAGAAACGAGCCCGGAGGAGCACGAGGAGGCAGGGGAGGAGGAGGAGGAGGAGGAGGAGGAGGAGGAGGAGGCAGGGGAGGAGGAGGAGGAGGAGGAGGAGGAGGAGGAGGAGGAAGAGGAGGAATGAGCAGCGACGCCGGAGAAGGCAGGGAGGAGCGGCAGGAGGAGACGCGGAGGAGCGGACGGAGCGCAAGGAGGAGACGCGGAGGAGGGGAGGAGGGCAGAGGGGAGGAGGGGAGGAGGGCAGAGGGGCAGGGCCCCGGGAGGGCGGCGGAGGCGGCGAGGCCTCTCGCGCCGCGCGCCTCGGACGGCCGCGCGCCGCGCCGCGCCCGGCCCTCCTCAGTCGCCGAGGACCAGGCCGCCCTCTGGGCGCCCGGCCTCCGCCCACGCGGCGCGCAGCGCCGCCGGGCCCGGCCCGCCGTCGCCCACGCGGTTGCCGCCGAGGTTGAGCTCCTGCAGCCGGGGCAGCGCGCCCGGGGCGCGCAGGGCCTCCGCCAGCCGCGCGGCGCCCTCGTCGCCCACGCAGTTGTCGCCGAGGTCGAGCAGCTGCAGCTGGGGCAGCGCGCCCGGGGCGCGCAGGGCCTCCGCCAGCCGCGCGGCGCCCTCGTCGCCCACGCGGTTGCCGCCGAGGTTGAACTCCTGCAGCCGGGGCAGCGCGCCCGGGGCGCGCAGGGCCTCCGCCAGCCGCGCGGCGCCCTCGTCGCCGACGCGGTTGCGTCGCCCACGCGGTTGGCGCGAAGGTTGAGCCCCTGCAGCTGGGGCAGCGCGCCCGGGGCGCGCAGGGCCTCCGCCAGCCGCGCGGCGCCCTCGTCGCCCACGCGGTTGCCGCGGAGGTCGAGCCCCTGCAGCCGGGGCGCGGCGCCCGAGGCGAGCACGGCGGCCAGCTGCTGCGCCTCCTCGTCCCCCCACTGCAGCCCGTCGTAGCGCAGCGCCTCCCCGGCCTCCAAGCGCTGCGCGAAGGCGGAGCGGTAGAGCTCGGCGACCCGGGGCAGGTCGTCCTTGCCGTTGGTGAACCCCTTGCTCTGCAGCTGCACGTCGAAGGCGTCGGGCAGGAGGGGCGCCCGGCGCCCCGCTGTGCAGGTAATCACCAGCTCCTGATACCATGAGGTCTCCGCTCCCGTGGATCGGCCGAGGTCCAAGAGCTTGCCAGACGGCTTCGTCAGCATCGCCCAGGAGGACTCGCAGAAGCACCAGCCACGGTTGAAGTACTGCTCCGTGTTGCCCGACCGGGTGTACTTTGCAGCATCGCCGTAATCATCTGGAAACCGCGTCAGCATGAAGACGAGAGTGGCGGGGTTGGAGTAGAAGCTCCCCAGGCTCCCCAATGCCTCCTTGAAGAGCGCATGCTCCAGTTCGAAGCGGCCGAGGGCATCGTCCTCGAAAGAATCTGAGCCTTCGAGCCGCTGATAGGTGCGCTGCTGGGGAACGCCCTCGCGGTCCCTACAGTTTTGATGAATGCAGCAGAAGTCCATGAATACACCCCAGCGGCGCCATGACCGAAGCCCCGGGCTGTACAGCAGCTGCAGGGCCTGGCCCAAGATGCGCAGGTTGTGCCCGCGTGGATCCGGGTGGTTCGCCTGCAGCCAGCAGTGTGATATGCACGCGATGTACAGCGACGGTGGGTTACCGACCGTGGCGGCCTTGACGACGCTGTGGTGCACGAAGGCCGTCGGCGGCACTGGCTGGCGCTTGACGGCGCTGTGGGAAATGAAGGCCGTCGGCGGCAACGCCTGGCGCGGCTCGAGGACGCCGCCAGTGCGCGCTCGCCTCACCATCCACTCCGCGTCCATCAGGACGACCGCTCCACTGCCGAGCACGGGGTCGAGCTCCAGGCCGCCGCAGCTCTCCCAGCATGCCTGGCAAAGAGGGGGGGGGGTCAAAAGATGGGTGGGGGGGGTCACGCCGACGAGGGGAAGGGGAAGGGGGGGGGGGGGAATCGAGAGGGGGGGATGCAAGGGGAAGCGATGGCGAGAGAAGGGGGGAGGGAAATCGAAATCGAGAGGGGGGGGTGCAAGGGGAAGCGATGGCGAGACCGAGAGGGCGGCGGGGGAGGGGCCGGATTCCCAGATCGGGGCGGGCAGGGGGCCGGATTCCTGGCAAAGGGGGGCCGGAGGGAGGACCGAAGCGCAGAGGGGCAGGCGCGGAGGGAGGTCCAAGGGGGCGGGGGGCGGAGAGAGGCGGGGGGGGGAAGGCGGCGCTGAGGGCTGGAGCGCCGTGGAATCCGCCAAGCCCTCTGGGCGTAGGTGGTCTAGAACAGATCCTCTTCCACCCCTCCCTCTTCCCCCTTGGGGAGGGGTTTACCCTCCCCTACCCCCTCCCCTGGACTGGACGGACGGAGGGTTCGCGAGCGGTCGGACGGCTCTTTTGGCCCCAAGATGGCTTCAAGAGCGCGTCAGAGAGCCCAAGATGAGCTCCAAGATGGCTCAAGATCGCTCGAGATGGCTCCTAAGATGGTTCCAAGAGGCCCAAAGACGGCCCCAAGACGGCTCCAAGTGGCCAAAGAGCTCCCCAAGGAGGCCCCGAAGAGGCCAAAATCGTCCCAAAACCTTAGGAAAATAATGTTTTTTGCTTTCTCCCCGTTTCGCTTCCGATGGCCATCCAGGCCTCAAGATGGCTCCAAGATGGCCCAAGAGGGCCCCACAAGAGGCCCAAGAGAGCCCCAAGACGGCCCCAAGAGCGCCCAAGAGCGCTCCAAGAGCGCCCCAAGAGCGCCCCAAGAGGCGATGTTTGGAGCTCCTGAGAGAGGCCCCAAGATGGCCCCAAGAGCGCCCCTCCAAGATCCAAGAGGCTCAAGATCAAGCCCGCTTCTGGCTCTTCGGTTCGCCGTCCTCTTCAATCCCACCAGCCCTCTGGGCGTAGGTGGTCTAGAACAGATCCTCTTCCACCCCTCCCTCTTCCCCCTTGGGGAGGGGTTTACCCCTCCCCCTACCCCCTCCCCTGGACTGGACGGAGGGTTCCCCGAGCGGTCGGAAATGGCTTCAAGAGCGCGTCAGAGAGCCCAAGATGAGCTCCAAGATGGCTCAAGATAGCGGCCCCAAGATGGTTCCAAGAGGCTCCAAGTGGCCAAAGAGCTCCCCAAGGAGGCCCCGAAGAGGCCAAAATCGTCCCAAAACCTTAGGCAAATCAATGTGTTTTGCTTTCTCCCCGTTTCGCTTCCGATGGCCATCCAAGGCCTCAAGATGGCTCCAAGATGGCCCAAGAGGGCCCCACAAGAGGCCCAAGAGAGCCCCAAGACGGCCCCAAGAGCGCCCAAGAGCGCTCCAAGAGCGCCCCAAGAGGCGATGTTTGGAGCTCCTGAGGGGGGAGGCTAATTAGGGACCCCCCCTTCGTTGATCGATCTCCTCCAAGATGGCCCCAAGAGCGCCCCTACAGCCCCCAAGAGCGCCCCAAGAGCGCCCCAAGCGCCAGACGGCCCCAAGAGGCGCCCAAGAGGCCTCCAAGAGGCTCCCAAGAGACCCCCAAGAAGCCTCAAGAAGATCTCCGAAATGCATTTAAGACGCTTCTGGCTCTTCGGTTCGCCGTCCTCTTCAATCCCACCAGCCCTCTGGGCGTAGGTGGTCTAGAACAGATCCTCTTCCACCCCTCCCTCTTCCCCCTTGGGGAGGGGTTTACCCCTCCCCCTACCCCCTCCCCTGGACCTGGACGGAGGGTTCCCCGAGCGGTCGGACGGCTCTTTTGGCCCCAAGATGGCTTCAAGAGCGCGTCAGAGAGCCCAAGATGAGCTCCAAGATGGCTCAAGATAGCGCAAGATCGCTCGAGATGGCTCCTAAGATGGTTCCAAGAGGCCCAAAGACGGCCCCAAGACGGCTCCAAGTGGCCCCGAAGAGGCCAACATCGTCCCAAAACCTTAAGAAAATCAATGTGTGTTGCTTTCTCCCCGTTTCGCTTCCGATGGCCATCCAAGGCCTCAAATGGCTCCAAGATGGCCCAAGAGGGCCCCACAAGAGGCCCAAGAGAGCCCCAAGACGGCCCCAAGAGCGCCCAAGAGCGCTCCAAGAGCGCCCCAAGAGGCGAGCGATGTTTGGAGCTCCTGAGGGGGGAGGCTAATTAGGGAACCCCCCTTCGTTGATCGATCTCCTCCAAGATGGCCCCAAGAGCGCCCCTACAGCCCCCAAGAGCGCCCCAAGAGCGCCCCAAGAGGCGCCCAGACGGCCCCAAGAGGCGCCCAAGAGGCCTCCAAGAGGCTCCCAAGAGACCCCCAAGAAGCCTCAAGAAGATCTCCGAAATGCATTTAAGACGCTTCTGGCTCTTCGGTTCGCCGTCCTCTTCAATTTCTCATCCCCCTCTTCCTCCTCCTCCTTCTCCTCCTTCTCCTCCTTCTCCTCCCTCTGCTCCTTCTCCTCCTTCTCGTCCTCCTCGTCCTCTCCCTACTCCACATCCTCCTCCTCATTCTCCTCCTCCTCCTCCTCCTCCTCCTCCTCCTCCTCCTCCCCTCTCCCCCTCCGACGAGGATTCCTTCTCCATCCTCCCCCTCTTACGTGGCTATTCTGTGACAGCTTCTCCTTTCGGGTTACTCTGGGCCGCGGATCAGGCGGATCACCTCAACTCCCCTGGGCAGCGTTTCTGGATGGGCTGGTGGGGATTTTTTTTACAGCCGCAGGCGGAAGCGCTGGCGGCGAGCAGTCACGGTCGGGTTGCGGCCGCGACTAAATTCCCGGGCGCGCGCGGGGGCCGCGGATCAGGCGGCGGGGGGGGGCAGCAACCCAGGGCGTCTGAGAGGTCAGGCGGTCGTGCAAACTGCAACCCAGGGAGTCTGTAGGGTCAGCCACCCGAGGCGGTCGTGCAAGCTGCAACCCAGGGAGTCTGCGAGGACAGTCACCCAGGAGCAAGCCGGGCGCGGCCAAAATGGCGCGCCGTACGTTCCCAGCCGTGGTCGTGCCAGGCGACAACCGCGTAGTGGTGGGAACCAAACTCCGTGCGAGAAAGTCAGTCAAGGGAATCTGACGGGTATGAGCAGACCGAAACTGGCTGACGTCGTCCAGCAAGGAGGGGGATTCTGACAGCGCCAGCGAACCGTCGCAGCTTCAAAAAACGCATCCGCGGCAGATCGGGTGTGCCTGAGGCCGAACAGGCAAAGGCAAACGCCGTACTGCTGAAGATGCGCCTGCAGGCAGCAGACCAGCGGTCTGGTATGCCGCAGTGCAGGAGTACACGGGTACCCACCGTAGGGACACACGGCCAATCGAAGGGAAGCGTGCACCAGGCGACTAAGTGACAGCAGCGCCAAGCGACCCACGCCGCCAGGTCGAGGAAAGCGCTCGAAGGACAGCAACTGTCGTATACCCAAGACAGCAAGTCCTTCACGGTCACAGAGTCCCAGGGAGGATCGCACAACTAAATGCGCGTGGGAGCAACGAAGAAAGACCGAGTGCCCGTCATACGCCGAGACCGTGCAGCGCAGTCCACAGGGTGGTAACGCAACGCAACGGTGGAAGGCGGCGCTGATCGGGGTCACGTCATCGGCCCAGTCGGTGTAGGGCGCAAGCGGACCAGGTGGGCATTCCGCCAGCATGGCGGGGCGACCCACGACGATGGCAGCCTGACCTCCGAGTCCCGCGTCGCTCCCAAGAGAGGTAGAGATCACGGCTGAAGGCCGTAGTAACTTGAAGAGCCCAGGGAGTAGAGGCGCAGAACTGGGGACGGGGCGAAAACCACCAGGTCGTCAGCCACAGAGCTGCGCGCCAGGCAGGGCCTGGCAGGTGAAAACAGCTACAGTGGGGCCAGGGGCCACTATGGCCACACGCAACCCGAGATTGCAATGTGGACGGTATTGCTGGCACACACACTTGGATCCAAAGGCAGGAAGCGCGCGTACCAGGAGGGGCGGCAAGATGCCGCAAGCTGGGTCTGTCGCCCAAGGGGCGGCTGAAGGCCGTTGTCTGATTGAGAGACCCAAGGTTTAAAGCACGTCTCGGGAGTGGGCCTCGGTCGGTCCTGAAGCAGCTTAGCCGAGCACAGGACCGTTCGGGCCACTGGTGAGCGCCACTACAGCGTGGCCAGGGGCCAACTAGGGTCTGCGCGCTACGCTCCCCCGCGCAGCGAAGCAGATGGTATTGCTGGTCGACGCACTTGGGTCCAAAGGCAGGAAGTGTGTGAACCAGGGAGGGAGGCAGCGAGGCTGCCACACGGTTGAGAGAGAACGGAAGGCAGCTGAAGGCCGCACATAGTGTGTAGTAAGATTGACATTTCTGGCTGTCTAGGTGCTGGATGGATGGGAAGGGAGCTCATTATCCCCATCGGTGCCTCTTTTCGCCTCGCTCGTCAGGTCTGCCTCCACCACGCTTGCCTCCCGTCTGCCAACGGCCGTCGTGCCAGGCGTCACTCCAGTCGCTCTGCCAGGTGCCCCAGGTGTCCCAGGAGCTTGCCGCGCGGTCTCGCCAGCTGCTCTGCTGGAGGTTGCCTTTGCCCTTGCCGTCGGATCGGGTGTGACGCAGATACTAGGCCCGCAGCTTGGCCCAATCAATGCGGTAGTTGTACCTCGTGTCCATCAAGTAGGCGTTGTACCCGCAGCCCTTCCAGTCGTCCAAAAACTTGTTGATGGTCGCTTCCGTGTGCAGCCTCGGGTCTGATTTGGGCTCCCTGGATCCAGGGAGCAAAATGCGCTGCGTGTAGGCAGTCCACAGCGCGCAGAATACTGCGCCCAACTCCGACTGGTACCTGGCGAGGCGTTTGGCGGGTGGCTCATCTCGACGCTCCAAGTCCACTTTGCCAAGCCAGACCTTGTACATGGGGCCCCCGTGTGAGTCGGTCAACAGGTTGAGCGTGTGGCGCTGCGTTGAACGAGGGTAGGTAGGTCTGTGTCCAAGGGCCTGTGGGTTGCGTAGTGGGGGACGACGGCTCCGCGCGTCACCCCTGT